GAGTTCACTGACAGTCGGGAAATCACAGCGAGTCCAGAGAAGCAACACAGAGTCTCGAACATCTGTCAGTGTGATTTATAAATCCATAAATAAATACCTTAATTATGATTTCCTCCACTGTCACGGAGCCCCTCAGTGGCTGATTGGGGTGAGCTTTGGTTTCCAAGGTGACCGAACAAGGTCTCAGTACCTTTTGGATAGAGCCGGACTGACACCTTTAATCATGTTTGTTCATCTCTCATTACTTACAAGACCACTAACACATCACATTTTCTTCCTCTACAGTAAGACACCTTTTCAGTTAATCTGTTACCCGACTCATATTTTTAAGGGTAATGCAGTAAAAATGGTTTTACTCCCAGTCAACAACTCCAAAACGCTGTGGGTTTAAATGTGTCTGACATATCAAAAAACACAAAGCAGAACTGATATAACAGTGAGTGAAGAATCTACAGACTGCAAAAAACAAGCACACTCTTACGGTGGTGACAGCCTTGTCCTCTTTGTTTTGGATGAAGGGGCAGGCGAGGACCTTCAGCTCCCTCAGGCTGGCTCTCATGTTCTGTGTGCCGTCCTCCTCGGCCTGTAGCGTGAAGTCGCACTGAAATGAGGCCACGAGAGCTGGGGCGTCGGCCTTCATCAGGTTGGCCACGAACACCACCTCTGGGTCCACCACCACTGCTCGAAGTCGAGTCTTCACTGTGGAGGCTGCAGAGAGAAAACAGTCTTGTGATGGTTTTTCCTTTTTGGTTTCCGTTCTCGCTTTGTGATTCTGAATGGTCGTCTTTAGCTTGACTGAGAAGCTCTGAATACTTGGAAACATCAATTTTGTTCTTATTGCTAAATCAGATAAAGTAGACCATGATCTTGCCATTCAGTGGTCAGAAGTGTAGGCTGGGCTCCCTGCTGCAGTTGTAGACTAACCTTTTCTGGATTCGTTTAATATTCCTGTTGATACAGTAGATATACTCAATACCCCCCCGCCTCTCCGGTCGGGGTCTGGTGTCCCGATCTTACCAGTCTTGGGGTCGGCTCGTGGTTCAGTGGTCTGTCTCAGCTGCAGTCTGTCGCTCGGTGCAGAGGTGGCGGGCGGAGCCGAACTCTGCGGCAGAGCCTGCAGGAAGAAATCTCCGACGGCCATCAGAAACTCCACGCTTGCACAGAGATAGAGCTTCTGCAGAATGGCCACCACCTCCCGTTCTGCTGCGCTCTGCCGGTACGTCACGTCGATCGTGACCCCTGAGCTCTCTTCGTCTCTCTGCCTCACCATCCTGCAGCAAGTTAACACAATGTGTGATCACTGACCGAAAACTCTCATCTAAACCACTTTGGTAGCAAAAAACTAAACTGCTTTCCATATGGATCATATTCACTGTGCAGTGTGATCTGACTGTTTCTTCTTCTTCTCTGAAAAACAACTACAGACTATTTGATGAAGAACTCCATCAGTGATTGATCACGTCATCAACAAAACAGTCAGACAGACAGAAAGCAGAGATCATTTGACTTACCGCGAGGTGACCCTCTCCATGCCGGTCCTCAGGTCGTCCAGTGTGCAGGCAGTCAGCACCGTGCTCACCTCCATGCTGCCATTATTTAGGATCTTCCCTGAAGTTTTTAGCAAGTGTAGGGCAAATTCTCCCAGTCTGAGGTCCTGCTGGTTCTGGAGATCTGAGGACTGGGAACAGGGACAACAGTAAGGAAGAATAACTAACACTCACTTGCTTACTCCAACCACTGGACGAATAGCGTCCCCCAGATATCAGTTTCTTTTCACGTCCTTGTTGTTTCTAACTGACCTGTTTGGGGTCGAGGTACAGAACCAGACCAAGAGACTCGATGTTGAAGTTAAACTTGACAGTCTCCAAAGTTTCATCATCCTCTTCACTGTGGCTCACAGTCATCTTTCCAGAACCACCTGAGCAATCAGGACAAAGATCACATCAACAAAACGGCAAGAAAGCTTAAAGTGGATCTATTACACTCATTAACAATATTTTTATTCTTGGACTTTCGAGCAGCCTAGCTTGATTTAGGGTTCAAAATAATCCTGGTCTATCTTATATCGGATACATGTCAGCGCTTTGAGTACTCCGGGAGAGTAGAGAAGCGCTATATAAGAATCAGTCCACTTACCATGTCATCAGTCAGACACAGAAACCAGACAAATATCAGGGTTCAACTCTGGATGAGTGAAGATCTGAACATAAACTCAATCGGACCTGTCGGGGTGGCTCCAGCTGCTCGGACCTGCAGACTGGTCTCCTGCCGGGCTGCGGCGGGCTGCGGGCTTCCGGCCTCTCCCAGATTCTCCATCAGGATCCTGAGCACCACCTTCAGGTCGTCTTGACTGAGCTTCACCTGCACAGACGCATCAGTCACTACTCAGTCCGTCTACAGCTGTGACTAGAATGAGGCTACGGCTAAAGGCTGCTAGCCTAGCCTAAACCTGCGTCCTTATTGGAGGTGTCTACGCAGACTACAGACCACAACAAACAAACTGCATCCAGCTTCCAAGTAAAAGACGAGAGCAGCAACAATATAACTCTACAGAGAGGCCTGTCCTCAGGGGAAACTGTACCTTTGGTGGTTTACTTGTCGACTGGTTGTAAAAACAAGAATAAAATCATTAGTGGAATTTCTGACACATTTTATTCTATTGAGGAAGATTATTACATACGTCTTAAAACACCAACCATACTGTACAGCTACTCTGTTTTTATATCGTCTTGTAATCTGGGAAAGATTTTTGGTTACAAGTTTAATAATGTAACAAGGATACATGTTAACTTCCTCTTCCTCCTACCTTCATGGGTTTCAGATCTCCATCAATCTCCACAGCAGCCATCTTCTTGTACCAGGAAGCTGCCAGGTTTCTCTTGATGTTCAGGTGCAGGTTGACCGGTTCAAGCAGCTCTCTGCTAGGTTGGTTTGAGTCAGGCTCTAAGCAGGTCCTGGGCCACAACAGGAAGGAGTCAATGTGCTTACAGGAGAAACTAATCAAAGTCTGCATATAAAAACAAAAGCTTCCCCTTCAAAGCTTTCTGCTTGTGCACCTTTTTTTCCAAGCATGACCACAATATCCTTGGAATTCCTGATCTGACTACTTGCACATGCAGTTTCATCCTTTTTCTCAGACTGACCAGCAAATTTCACTGTTTTAACACAAAGGAGAGGCGCCAAGATTCAGGTGGCCAGATTGGGTCTTCCTTCCTGCACGTCTGTGGAGGTTCTCAGTCATTAAAGATGACGGTAGTCTTAGGAGCTTAAAAAGGCATTGAAACCTCTCGCGTCTTATCCAAGAGGTTTCCTTCAGCTTTAAAACTTTTAAAAACTGAAGAAGCTTCTTGGTGAAACAGACTTAAAGAAGTCCAGTCGCATCTTTTTACGCTCCTGAGACTTCCTTTAAGGTCCTATTCTAAGAACATCATTACTGACATTAAGGATTTCAGTCTTCAGGTTCTTTCATTTCACTTTGCAAAATCTTAATCAACACCATTAACATTTCTGACTGTGGATCAAGTCTGTGAGGCTTTGTTTCACTGACCTGGAGAGTTTCACCTTCGTCAGCTGGACGTCCATATTGTCGATGACGGCTGGCAGCGGACATCCTGTGACATCCAGCAGAGAGAAGCTGTTCCCAACAGTAATCAGACCCAGGTCCACCTCCAGAGCGTTGTTGGAGGTGGAGGACTGTGGTATGATGATGACTGGGGCCTTAAGGTTGATGTCCATGGACAGACGGAAGCTCTTCTGGGCGAAGTCACGTACGCTGGACGCGGCCTTCTCTGCTGCCTGAGCCGTCGCGGCGCTCAGAGCTTCTTTAGCGGTCTGGAAGTTGTTGGTGAAATTCTGCAAGAAAATTTTAAAAAAAAGACAGTTTTCTTCAGTCCAGTAGTGACTATTTCATGCACTCTTCTCAGGTGTTTTAAAAACCACTGGATCCAGGTTTCTTTTTGCATTTCTTCTCATTGGCAAAAATTAAAAAGAATAAAAGAAAACTCACAACATTAATACTGAGAAAGAAAAGCAAATCAAACTGGGAGGAGGGAACACAAATAACAAACCAGTGCAGGTTTAGCTGCTCGGGTCAAACTAAAAACAGTTCTACAAACTAACTTTCAATCATCACGTGTGACTCACCAGCAGGGACGTGAAGAACCTGTGCAGGTAAACCACCTGGATGCAGCCCACGTTTAACTTCACTGTGCCGTCAGTTTTGGAGGTGTCGGCGTAGCCCGCGCCCTCTGTGGCGTTAGGGGTCAGACTCACGCTGAAGCTGAACACCTCGTTACCCACGATGGAGATGGCCTGAAGCATAATCGGAGGGAAACCGTTAGCTCACACAAGAACACAAACACAAGAGGGCAGGACGATCTAAAGCAGTCCCGGGGTATCAGGGTCTGAAGACGTTATCAGTTTTGACACAATGGAGTGAAGCATTCTTATATAAGACAACTTACTGACCTTCTTGTGGAAGCTTTTGGGATCAACGTTTAGAACAATGAAGTCTCGCATGCCGCCTGATATATGAGTCTGAGGTCCTTGCATCAGCAGCGAGCCATTAATACCTGAGGTGCACAGCAGGCGTGTTACATCAGGTTTGGTAGTGAAAACTCACAGAAAACAAAATTCAGCTCCGATTCAGTACCTTGGATCTTGATGTCGGCCATGTTGCACAACTGGTCGCACACTAGGACGTTGAAGGCCCCGAGATCCATGACCACCTTCAGGTCTGTGACCTGAGAGTCTACAGGTGACACCAGGGCAGCTGCAGGAGGAAAATAACACATGACGCTGAGTTTTAAGTCAGACGCACATTGTGTGTGTGGGTGCGTGTGTGGTACTGACTGGACTTCGCAGAAACCGTCTTATCCTCCGTCTTTGGTCGGACTTCTTTCTCTGGAGACGGAACGCCGCCGCCAGATGACAACGCCGTCGACAGGAAGTTAATGGCTGACAGCAGAGCTTCGGTGTGAAGCATGACGTCGAGTGAGGTGAAAGTCACCTACGACCCAAGAGGAAAGCTGATGCATTTTAGTGGTTCTCAAAAATGTGCAACACCTGGGATGTGTGACAGATCTTAGTCCCGTGGTGCCACGTTCATCACTGGTATTTTATTAAGTTACTTTTCCCCTGTTCTACCTCTCGTCACAAATACAGGTTTTGTTGTTAGACAGCGTAGAGAGGCATTCCTAGAAAGAACAGGCTCAAATCTATCAGAACAGGATGACGTGGAGCAGTTTTTGTGTCTGTGTTGTAAATTTGAGTAAAACTTGGCTGATGCAGTGTGAAAATGATTTCTAAATCAGACAAATCCACCTGGTAACACTAGATCTGTGCAAACAGGGCTAAAGCCAAGCTTGCATTTCCTTCAACACGACCATGAGATGTGCAGAGATGATGCTGTACTGATCTGCAGGTGATGAACTATGACTCACATTGATCAGCTGCTCGGTGTTTTTGTAGACGGTGGAGAAGTTTGGTCCGGCACGGTCGGCCTGATGAAACAAACAGGCTGATTAAAAACTGCTGAATCTCAAACCGTCGACCCCACACGTAGTTCTCGCCTCCACCTCCCGTGCATGAACAGGTAATCAGATGGTGACCTCACCTTACAATACTCCACTTTGAGCAGTTCAGCTCCAGACTCGACTGAAGAGCTGATGAGGCACAGCGGCTCCCCACTTGAGTCTAAACCAGAAGAGAACAAAGCTGTCACATCATCAACATGTTCGACCGCACACGCACAACCAAAGAAACCAGTACAGACACACTTGTGCCAGTAAACCCTGGTGTGCTGTAACGCTCTGACCTTTGAACTCGAGGCACTTAAGGGCAATTTTTCGGATGTATGTTGCTGCACTCATGTCGTATTTTCTGACTTTTGTGTTAATGCCCATGTGGGCGACGTGAAAGACCAGGAAAGGGGACTCCTTCTGTTCCTTTGGCTTTTTCAGAGTCAGAAGCACCTTAAGAGAAGTAGCAGAAAACACATTTAGATGACAGCAGAGCGCCAACATGTTGGCGCAACAATGAATGCAAAGTTTTGTATCTCTTCAGATACAGAATGATCTTTCAGACTCTCTACAGCAGGGTGGGCAACTCCAGGCCTCGAGGGCCGGTGTCCTGCAGGTTTTAGATGTGTCCTTGATCCAACATGGCTGATTTAAATGGCTAAATGACCTCCTCAACATGTCCTGAAGTTCTCCAGAGGCCTGGTAACAAACGAATAATTTGATTCAGGTGTGTTGACCCAAGGTAAGATTTAAAACCTGCAAGGCCTGGAGTTGCCCACCCCTGCTCTAAAGTCACCACAGACTGATGTTCTCTTGAAACAGAGGAAAAGTGAGTCCGACTCTGAGCTCTGGCAGATTTCGTACCTCTTCCACTTCAAAGTTGAGGAGAACGCTGATGGTGTTTTCATTCTGAATTCCATTGGTTGCGGCCACAGCGCCATTAGATGCTGGTGGTAATGACACCACATCTACCAGCTGCTCTGCAAGCTCTGCTTTCTCTGTGGAAGCAAAGCGGTGATTAAAACACACACGTGTGTTCAGATCTTCTTTTTCATGTCTCACTAACTGAAGTAGCGATCAAGTTCTTACATAAGAACCGTGCGTCATGGCCACTCAAACTCAAACTTTGCTGTGAAAGCGACCCGACTTTAACACTACTGATAAATGAACTTTTACTGAAATGCTCTGAGGGAGGATGCTCATGCCATCGTGTGTGCAGTTTCAATGCCCAGAAAAAGTAAATACTGGTCTCCACCCACCACCACCTGCTCACCAGATTTGGGTCCCTGCAGCTCTGTCCTTTTGCTGAATGAACCAGACACCATTTTATTGTACAGATGAAAGAAGGCAGTACTAGATGTTTGTTTAATTTGCAAGTCATAGAACATAACATGGTTAAAACTTGCCCCTGGGTTCTTCACAGTACTGGAGTAAGGATCCAAAGATAATCACTTCAGCTGTGTCTGAATTTAAAAGCTGAAAATGACTTTTCTCCAACTTATTTCATTTCCCATCATGTGCTGTGAGAGTGAACTTACCTTGGGCCACCTGTCTCTTCACATCCATGCTGTGCTCTTTGTTCCCCTCTCCAATGTTCTCTACTAGAATCTTCATCAGTACACCAAGATCTTCCTCACCCAGACTCATCTGATGGATACACAATAAAGGTTTAAGTCTCACTCTGCAGAGTCTGAATCCTGGTTCAGCCAACAGAAAACAAGAGAGACTTACATTTAGGGACCGGAGCACTCCCTGGACCTGGACTCCGGGAATCTTAGAGAACCAGGAAGCTGCCAGGTTTCGGGTGACAAGCAGCTCCAGGTTGATTGGCTGAAGGATCTCGATGTCGGGCAGAGAGTCTCGCTTCAGTGTGGTTCTGAAAGCACAGTGGAATCTGTTTTTATCTGCTGGACCTTCGTCATGTTTCAGTGCAGCTAAGAGGAGAAACATTTCCCATCTACTGGTGTGTACGAAGACGCCAAGCGATGAAGAGAACTGGATGCAATCAGTGCATTGGTACCATTTCTAAGTCCCAGTGAGGTCTAAACAACCTGAGTTTAGCTGGATTTAAACCAACAAACACAATTAAGCAAAAGCAGAACTGTTTCCAGCCCTGCTCACAGTCAGTGTATTCACATTTCTTATGTCGTTACCTGGACAGTTTCAGCTGCGTCAGCTGGACATCCATCTTCTCCACCACAGCTGGCAGAGGGAAACCCTCCGCCGGCTGCAGAGAGAAGCTGTTTCCCACCGTGATCAGACCCAGATCCACCACCACAGCATTACAGGAGGTGGAGGACTGGGGGATGATGATGAGTGGGGCCTTCAGCTTGATGTCCATGGACAAACGGAAACTCTTCTGGGCGAAGTCTCGAACACTCGACGCGGCCTTCTCCGCTGCCTGAGCCGTCGCGGCGCTCAGAGCTTCTTTAGCGGTCTGGAAGTTGTCGACGAACATCTGAAGAACAAAAGCAATCAGGTGTGAGATGACAGACTTGAGTAGACTTAGAGAGACGCCATGAAGGAGCAAGTCAGAGGGCCAATGTGAGGAGTTCACTGTGTGCACAGGTTCATTTCTGTTTCACAAACCTTCACAGGGATATGAACCTCATGCTGATGGCAGGCTTTAAAGTCGCTGCGCTTACACACCAGCTGGCACTTGAAATCAGGAGGTGGAAACTACATTAGTTCCGTTTTTTGAACATTTTTAATATCGTAAATATCGAGCTGAGTGTAGAAGTTAAAAGGTTCATATCACGACTGACGTATGAAACAAGAATGAAAGTCAAACCCGCTTTAAGGAGACGTCACACAGGCAAAGGTCATGTGACTGACGGGGGGGCGGCAGTGAGGGTGTGGGGGGATAATGAGGGCAGCTGAGTGATTTGCATAGCACATATGGAGGACGTGAGCTCTGATTACTGTCAGATGCTGTGCATGAAAAGCATTCCTTCTTCTGTCATCTCTCCCTGTGTCCGTGCTCACTCTGCCGAACATTCAGAGCAGTTGTTTTAACCATCTCCTGGTCTCAGACGGGTGGCGCTCAGGGTTTTGAGTGACTTCCTGTCTCATGTGCTTTGTTTCAGTAACAGTTTGGTGGAAACACGCTCATTGAGGATGATTCTGCTGGACTGTCAGCTATCCTACAAATTTGTAACTGCCTGGATTTCTATGTCACGCAGGTGGGGTTTACTTTTATACTGCAGAAATCAGATTGTTGACACACCCCAAAGACATCCATTAAATTGCACTGACAACGAATATAAACGCACAATATGAGAACTACACCGTACGTCTGCCCTCTTGGCCTGGTTGCTCTTGGAAAAGAGATTTTACCTGGATAAACAAAAGAGTAATGAAATAATAAAAATTAAAAGAAGCGTTTTAGAAAAATGAAAGTGAAGCAAGCCCTACAAGCCAACAGCTATTTTGCAACATTGGGTTGAGCTCAGGCTTTGTAAAAAGACTGAAATGTGTTTCCTGCTTCTTAAACATATGAATAGTTTTCCTTATTTACTTCTTTTGATATTTGAATTTATAAAAATAAACTGGTTCCAAATAGATGATGCATTATAGTCCGTTAATCATCATTCTGTTGACGAGTTGAGGACAATGTGTGATGGGAGGTCAGACGTATTCATATTTTCTAAAGTTATGAAATGAGAAATAAATACAGATGTGATGAGAAGCTGATCAAAGAAAGCATGAGCAGAGAGTATATTTAAAGTTGTCTTTTTGTCACTTCCCTTCTCCCTCAAAGTTAAACTTTGTCATATCGCGCCATTCAGATTAACCCGAGTCTACGACCAACGAGTAGAAGGTAGAGACGGGGGTTAATCCGCTCACAGAGACAGGGTCCCTCTGGGACGTTAAACCTGATGATATTTAAGCTGGTGGTGCAGCGATGTTGTCGAGTGAAGCTAAAGCAGAAGGTTTTGTGCAGTTCAGAGGTGCATGCTGGATGCTGTACCTCGTCACCAGATGTATACTGAAAGCTAAAAGAAGCCTGCAAGAACAAAACACATCAACAAGACAAGAAAGATGAGAGACAAAGAACTGCAGAGAAAGGTCATGCAACAGGGAACAAGACATCTCTGATTTGACTCTACAGCTACAAACACATCAGAGAAGTTCAGAGTTTAAACTAAAGCTGATTCCCGACGACTGTCCTGCAGACATTACAGTGACAGCTGCAGCCAAAAGCAACTGAACATATAGAGTACAATACAGTTTCATTTCACAGTGACATGGAGCCAATTTCTGTCCATCCCTACTCACACTCACTCATTTCACAGAGGTCAACCACACGGAATGAAATTCGAAATTAACTTATCAAAAGGTTGGAATGGGTTTATAAACCACCATTAAGGAGCAGCAGCGGTTGTGCTCTGATACGGAGGAGACTTCAAACACTTACAGAGGGACGTTTAACGGAATAATCTCACAATAAATAAAATCACTTGCATGTATATGAAAAAACTCATTGCTAATTATCTCCTGTTCTTCAGAATGAAAAGGCAAAGCAGAGAATTTTGGAAATTCTGCAAAGAGCTTGAATAGGAAACAGAAGGTTTTTTTTCTAGCAAATGAAGCACATAATCCTGACACAGCCGTCTGATAGTTGCATAAACTCTCATGAATGTCTCAGTTCCTGGTAGAATTCAACAAAGGAAAAGTAATCGAGTTTAAAAGAGGCAAAAAAGTACTTTAAGCACTTTAAGTATAAGTACTTAATTGATATCCTAGAGGGCAACTCCAGGCCTCGAGGGCCGGTGTCCTGCAGGCTTTAGATCTCACCCTGGGTCAACACACCTGAATCACAGGATTAGTTCGTTACCAGGCCTCTGGAGAACTTCAAGACATGTTGAGGAGGTCATTTAGCCATTTGAATCAGCTGTGATGGATCAAGGACACATCTAAAACCTGCAGGATACCGGCCACGCTGATCACAGAGTGGCTGAGTGTAGAAGGGCGGAGCCGATTAGATTTGGGCCACAGTGTGTCACAGATAACATAGGTTATAACACAGGTTGATTAGGAAGCATGTCAGACTGTTCACGGTATCCTGCTATGTGCTGCAGACCAGAGGAGATGCAGACGTCACCTGAAACTGCAGATGTGTGAGCGTGGACTGCTGGATCATAGAGGACATTGGCCACACACAGACAAGGCAAAGACTAGTTCTGTAGTTAGTGACTGTGTTAAGTTGAAGAGCACAGAAACAAAAGCAACACACTCACAACAAATGAAGGAAATTAATACTTCGATATAGGATTTAAACACCGAAATGTGTGTTTAAAAATGAAATGTGTTCAAGACTAGAAGTGTGTGTGTGTCCATCACATGTGTTTGTGTATTTATACATTAACCTATAAGCACCATCACAATCAGGAGGGCAACCGTAACCAGGAGCCCAACGGCCTCCACACAGAGACAACAGTCATCTGGCCTTTTAGGGGTCGCCTGTGTGGAGGTCAGGGCTGAGCGTGAATGTGCATTTAAAGTGTAGAGAAATATGACGCTCCTCACCAGCAGAGACATGAGGAACTTGTGCAGGTAGACGATATGGATGCAGCCCAGGCGCAGGGTGACCTTCCCGTCCACCTTCGACATGTCGCCGTAGCCGTCACCCTCGGTTGCCCCGGGAAACAGAGAGAGTTTGAAGCTGAACACCTCCTCACCCACGATGGACACTGCCTGCAGGGTGAAGAAAAGACCACAGCGGCACTTTCCATGACTCGAGACAGAGTACAGAACTTATCCTAGTACTAAAAGATCCCAGCTGACTTTTTACAGAAAAACAAAGACACTTAAGTGCACACAAACTTCTAAAGTAGCTTCTTTGTCTGGACTCAAGGCAGAAAGCAGATCTGATCATATATTGCGGCACGTGTACTGTTAGCATGACAGATGCTCAGGCTTCAGACTGCTTGAAAACCTCTGCTTTAGACAGCTAATATTCACTCCTGGGTCTGTACGACATCAGTGAGAATGGATCTCTCTGTTATGGTTGTCTCAGGGAACCAGCTGTGGCTGACAGAACAGCAGCCGGATCCACATGCTGATGCTGTTAAAGCCTTCCTGCTTATGAGAGGCAGAAAGCTGGCCTTAAAGGAAGGGCAGTTAAGCAGCTTGTTATAGACTCATAAAAGGATACAGGATTTTAAAGTGCGAGTAATAAAAACAACCTTAGTGGATTTCAAGAATGAAAATATAGAGCTGGAAATGAGTAATCCACTTGAAATCAATGTTAAACATCCTACTTAATGATCTGAGAAGTCTGTCTTTTTACCGCCTTTAGAATAGAATACAATAGAATGTCTTTTATTGTCACTATACACATGTACAATGAGATACAGAGCATCTCCTACTCAGAGCAGACCTGTGGGAAAGAAAGGTGCACAGTTTTACAGCGCTACATAAATAGTATACAAAAATATCACATGTACAAATACACTGTGGAAACAAAGTATTCCAGCAAGTTTTCCTGCTGCAGACCTTTCTGTGGATGGTATTGGGGTTGACGTCTGTGACCACGATGTCTCGCAGCCGTGCGAACACCTCCGTCTCCTTCGGCTGCACCAACACAGACGCGTCGATTCCTGCAGAGAGGTCACATGACCACAATTTATGCTTGATCGTGTGCCGTCAGCGTGCCCGTGCTTTTAACTCTCACTTCAGCTCAAGTGTTCGCACCTTGGACTCTGATGTCAGCGATGCTACGGCGGTCATCACACACCTCCACATGGAAACAACCCAACATGGCGACCAACTTGAAATTGAATATTCCTGCATCCTTAGCTCCTTTAGATACTGCAGAGAACGAGAATCATATCCTGTCACATGAAGATCATTCAAGACACACCTGTAACCAGATGGTTAAGCCTCACCTGTCCGGCTCTTTCCCGTCTTCTCCACCTGCTTTTTGACATCTTTGTCTTTGTCTCCGCTGAACTGTGACGGCATGGCGTTGTTCAGGTAATTGATGGTTGAGAGTAGAGCTTTAGTGTGAAGGAGGAAGTCCAGACAGGAAAACTCCACCTGAAACAGCAGTAGAGAGACACCTGAGAGGAAGCATGGCATCATGAACCGACTGACTGCGAGCCACTATTTGTTTCAGAGATAAAACATCCAGACCCACACTTTTTAAAGCGCTTCCTGGACAGGAAACAATCCCTGAATGACCAACAAATGTCGAGTCACATGTTTGTGTTGTTTGTATTAAGAACAAAAAAAAAAAAAGTCATAAACTGAATGACTAAATGCTGATTTTAACAGTGGAATAAAAGAACCGCTCGCCCACTCACCTTCAGCGTCTGCTCAGTGTTTTCAAACAGTGTCTGGAAGTTGGGACCGGCGGGGTCGGCCTGCGGCAGCACAGAGACACAAAAACACGTTCAGCGGGTTCATGTGTCTGTTTGCTGGATAAAAGGCCGATTCTGACTATGTTACCGGACTGATAGCACCAGGCAAAACGATCTGAACTGTGGTGTTCTGAGCCATTTTTGGCCACATCAACACAATCTTCAGTCACACCACGACCCCACTTACTACATGATTGTGACCTGTCCCAAATCTGTGTGTCTATTATGTGTAAACAGACCTCTCTGCATTCAGTCATACTTGTTATTAACCTCTGTCTCTCTTCCACAGCATGTCTTTATCCTGTCTTCCTTCTCTCTCTCCAACCAATCACAGCAGATGGCCCCGCCCCTCCCTGAGCCCGGTTCTGCTGGAGGTTTCTTCCTGTTAAAAGGGAGTTTTTCCTTCCCACTGTCGCCAAAGTGCTGCTCATAGGGGGTTCAATTCAATTCAATTTTATTTATATAGCGCCAAATCACAACAGTCGCCTCAAGGTGCTTTATATCATACAGTAGATCCTACAATAATACATACAGAGAAAAACCCAACAATGAAATGAGCCCCTATGGCAGTGTAAGTGTGTCCATGCCCTAAAATGAGTGAAATATCTGAGGAGCAGGATCACCAGCAGTGAGAACCAGTACTACATGTAGACCAAACAGGTGAGTCTGCTGGTGGTGTGTTTAATCTTACCTTGATGAACTCCACCTTCAGCAGGTTGGTGCCCTGCTCCGAGGAGCTGATCAGGTGGAGAGGCTGTTTTGTACCACCTGAAACAACAAAAACACATTTAAAAAAAAAGAACAAAAATATCACGACTACAAATGGAGACTATGAACAGGTACACAACACAAAAGGATTCGTTTAAATTATGATGCTAATAGCATCTGTGCTACCTGGCAGGTCGCAGTAGTCGAGCGTGACTCGTTGCAGATACGAGGTGACGCTCAGGTCGAAGCTTCGTTTCTTCCCTTCGGCTCCCAGGTGACAGATACTGAAGGACAGGAAAGTCTTTTCCTGTTCCACCTGCCGGGTCAGCTCCACCAGCACCTGAACACATCGCCCGCTGCTCGGTCACACGTTCTCATTTAACACTAGGACACCGCACCCCACCCCCTCCTCATGGGTCGCATGATGACCTGACACGAGAGCCAAACATTCACACACCTCTTTGACTTCAAACTTGAAGTGAACATCAGTGAGATCCTCCACAGTCGAGCGCTGATGATCCTCATCTGTTGATTTCTCACTGGTGTCTTCATCCGAATCTGAACACAAATTACGCACGACAGCATCAGTCACAGCCCACAGCGTCGTACAGCGTAGCTTTAAAGCTTTTAATTTGTTAAAAAAAACAACAGTCAGTCGAAATGCACCAAGCACTTACCCGTTTCCATGGTGTCGAGGAGGGTGGGGTGGAGGTCAAGTGCTCGCGGTCTCACCTCCACCAACGGCAAGACCTACAACAAGAATCGCCCAAACACGGTCAGCTAAACATCAAAGTGCAGGTAACTCTCACTCCCCAAAGTTCTCTCTGCGATCCCTCTAACATCCCTCAGTCCTCACCCTTGACCTCCCCATCACTCCCCAAACGTTCACCTGTCTCTACCACCCCCCAAATGTTTTCGCTCTGAAGTTTCCATCATCACTCACTCCTCCAATCCCAATATATCCTTTCTATATTAGTGCTTAGCTGCAAGACGAACGGTCTGTACCAAACGTACCTTCAGTGTTGGGGTGGATGGCGAGGAGTCCACGTTGGGTAGAGGGATGCCGTCAACCAGCTCGAGGACACTGTGGATCTTCTGGTCTGAGATCTTAACGTGTAGCAAAGGCAGCTCGCCCGATACCTTAAACCTGAAACGCCAGAAACGATTCGGATAAGGTGCACAGGTGAGCGCAGACGAGTCAGCAGAGAATTTGAACGCCTGTTCACCAGTGGGAATCATACCTGGGCATCCTGGCATCCTTTTCCACCATGCACTTGGCCAAACTGAGAGTGAGATCCATCGGCTGGAGGATGTGTTGGAATGAAGAACCCTGCTGCCGTGCTACCTTCCAAGCCTCACCTGAAATCAGGTCACGACAAATTAACTAAAAATGATAACAGATGTAATCTGAGGAAACACAGTTCACCTACTGGCCACTTTGTTAGGTACACCTGTTCTACTGCTCGTTAACATAAATATGGTGAATGAGCTGGTGCTTGTATGCCTTATATGTATTCAATACTTGCACTTTTGTGTATGTGTAGCTCTGTTGTTGTGCGCTGACGTACCTGACTTGCTGTAAAGCACTTGAACTCGGCTCAGCTTCACGCTGTATCTGTCATAGGCTCGATCCATGATTTCCTCCAGAGACGAGAAGGAGGAAGTGGACGACCGGATGCCGCTTTGCTCAACACTGTTTAACTACAGACCAACAAATACACACTGGTGTTAAGTGACAGGCTGTAGTGCAGGCCTGTAAACACTCACGCTGTTGTCTTATCTGTTGCACTACGAGCTGTAAGGTCAAACCACAAAACATTTATGAGGCCAGTTCTATAAAAAGGCAAAACCCAGGCACACCAGGAATTTAGGAAAACAACTGTAAAATATCCAGAACTTAAACTGTACTGTAACGGAAATTTTTACGAGACGCAGCTGACTTTCTTAAGGTCAGTATGTGTATTTATTATTTTTATAGTTAGAGAATATTAAAGAAACTGGTTATCATCATGAAAATATTATTAAAAAGGTCTTTTCATCTTAAAAGCAGGGGTAAAACTAAAAGGACTGACCTGAAAGCAGCCAAAGTCCACGATAATGAGGTCCGCCGTGCTGCTGTAGAAGCCCGACTTTGGCAACAGCAGATAGGACGGTTTCAACTCGATCCTCAGGTCCAGGACCTTTCTGGTCTCAATCATGTGAGACAAACCTGCAGAGACATGAATCCCTTAAAGTCCTAAGACCCGAACTTTTCCACGGCATGCATTTTTAATTTCTCTTTGATATTTGGGCTGATTGGGACCCGATGAATGTAAAAACAAAGAATTACTAGGTTGTTTTTTCTTTTATGAAAAATAAGAGCCACATATGAGGATATTCGTTTAGAATTTCGATAGAACAGTAGCAGCATAACATCCTCGTAAGTGGATATCAGGCCCTTGTTGAGCAAAATTGAGTATTTTGGTCTAAATAACCCAAAATGTGATGTCCACATATGTGGACGCCAGGTCCTAGGAGGTTAAAGTCCTGGTATGGACCCAACGGTCCTGATCATCATAGGACTACATAACCTGTTCAGCCGTGAGGACAATGGACCCCTGCTCCACCGTAACTGCTGGTTTGAACAGAAAATAGTTACTGACCTGTGGCAGTTTTCTCTTTGATCTCCTCCAGTTTGGAGAGTGTGGCCGTGGTCAGGACCTCCAGATCCACACCTTTCTCTGTCTTAAAGAAGTCGACGATACTGTTGACTGTCAGCTGAAGGATGAAAACACAGAGAGAGAGACAGGAATCATAAGAAACAACCATCTTTGACTTCCCAGAGACACTTAAATGGGTTAAAGAAGAAGAAGAAGAAGAAGTAGAAGACACAGACACCAGTAAGACTAACAGAAACTAAATGAACGTAACATACGAAAGAGAAGCAGCTTTCAATTACTGTGAAAGGTGGTTTAAGGCAAACGTGATCAGAACGATTACCGCATCATAGATGATCTCCACAGGCTGAGACTCGACTCTGAGCAGCTGGTCACCAGTGCTTTCCTCGGGGTTCAACTCGAACAACACGCTGAGCAGAGACGAGGACGAGTCGCCCATTGAGGCGATGAGTGAGGGTGTCGCCCCCTGCTGCTGCAAACCAGTAACATACCAGTGCTGCAAGGTCGTCTCCACCCTGCAGCAGAGCAGGGTCAATACGAATACGAGTCAGACTGACATGGATATGTGGACTCCCCGAGCCATTTAAACAGACAGCACCTTCCACCAAAAGTAGCACTAGAATATTTCAGCAGGTTGATTTATTTCATGTGTGTAAAATAAAAACCCCTGACCTGATGGCCTGAGCTCCGGGCCTCTGAGAGATTTTCGTCTTGAGGTCGATCATCTGGACCTTGAGGATCTCTGGTACATTGGGTTCCTCTCTGACCGTGACCGAAGTCCTCAGTAGCTGGAAATTGACGATCACAGCTACATACTGAAACAGACAAGTTGACGCCAGCTCAGTGTTACCAAAAAGTCTGGGTCCTGCTTAAGTAGATTCGGGTATTTTCAAATCTGCGCTTCATTTGACATTTGTGGGCGTGTAAATGATGAAAAACAAACTAAATGTCTATAATTAGTCAGCCGCTGAGTGAGGACGCTGCAGCATGATTGTAGAAGCATGAAATGCTTCTTTGCATAGACACCTCACACAGTTAATCCGAGTGTCAGATTTTTACAACCGGATAATTAAAACTGAGTGTTTACTTGGATATAGTTTGCTCTGATGAGGGTGCTAAAGGCAACAATGGGAAACTTGAACTTATCATCTACAAAGCCCACGAGCATGCAGATAGCAGGTGTGTTTACCTTTCTGGGTAAAGCCAGATTGTGAGAGCTGCCACTGTACCCGATGGCTGTGTACAGCTTTTCCTTCTCCTCTGCGGTCATGATTTGGTCGAGTCCTGAACCTGAACAACGGCAGACACGCTTTCAGCCGCCAGTTTGGACAGAGCGAGGTTTTTAAGGCGAATCTGAATATCACTTACTCTCCGGCTCTTTGCTCTCCTCTGGCGCCTGCTCCTCCTTTTTAGCCTTCCTCCCAAATAAGCTGCTGAAGAAACCTCCTCCCTGCTTTTGTCCCGCCGCCGCCTTCTTTGCTGCCACCTTCTGTCCTGATCTGATCACCTGCAGGGGGAAGACGAGCATATGGCGTATAGCTAGCCTGAACTCTCCTCTGGTCTAATTTCAGTCACTGTGTTTACCTCCATGTGCGCCTGTTGTCGGCCCAGAGTGATGTTGAAAACATCCAGAACTTTCTCGAGATCCTGGAGGAGCAAACAGCAGGGAAACAGCAGCAGCAAAGTTCAGCTTCTTTATGAGCTCTTATTGGCAGCCAAAATCCTCATAATTAGGATTCATTAGTTACATTCAGTAACTAAGGCAAAAAAGCAGAAATCAAACACATGACTGGAATTTTCGTTCATTTTAAAGTGATCTTAAGTTACTTCATCTTCGTCATCTTCAGCAGAGTGGTGGAAGATTTCAGAGTGCTTTGTGTAATTGGTGGAGATAAAATTCCCACTTGATACTGTTAGCTCTGACTCACCACCACAGCTACATGTGAGCGACTGTGGTTTCTGTTGGGTGTGCGCTCTGTTTAAGCTTGGCGCTGCTGTACAGAGACACCTTTACCTGGACTTGTTGCTCAGTTTCCTGGCTCACTCTGCCCTGGCTCAGCAGTTTGGTCTTGTAGGCGTTCTTGTAAGCCTTCAGGTTCTCCCGATGACGTTTAATGTTAGACCAGGACCACGTGTGTGAAAGAGGGTGGATGTGGACCTCCGTCACGCTGTTGACGCCGTACTTCCACCTGAGAGAGGCAGAGGAAGCAAATATTTGTGAGTTTCTGAGTCGATTTTGTTCACTAATCATCTCCGAATTGTAAACTTTACAAAACAGACCAGAGTTTGACGTTTCCTTTCACTGGGACGTCCGGCCTGAACTTCCTGTAGGGGGCGTTCTTCACCATGCAGTCGATGGACTCCAGCAGCTCCACCATGGTGAGGTACTGTACAGGAATCCGAGGGGAATGTTTAGAGAACAGTCTCACCTGTCTTTGCCTCCCATCTTGGTCTCATATTACCTGTGGTTTGGTCATCTCGATGGCAATGCTCTGGACCTCCAGCTGAAGATCTGCCTTCGGACTCTTCAGCTCCAGCTCAGCGCTCGGGTTGATGCATATTTTAGCCGAAGCGAAGATTGGTTTGAAAACTTCAGGGAGAAAAATATTTATGGGTGAAATTTGTGTGGATTTCACTGGGTGTAAGACGGTAAATACAGAAATGCAACAGAACAGGGAGGCTGAACTATGTGAATACTGTTCCTCCTTTTAAAAGAAGTGTTGAACTCACTGTACTGATAGTGAGGAAGCTCCTGGTCCTTAGTGCAAATCCCAGATTTTAGCTGGCCCTGCACGAGAGGAGGAGACAGACGATGAGCGTGAATGTTTCCTCTGACAACAGAATTAGGGTCACTCGGCTGACAGGTACGTACATTTGTGGCTCTCATCTTGCAAACTGTTGAAATTAATGCAACTTACAGTGTCTCCCTTTATAGCTGTAACCAACATAGGGATCACTGGATGACTCCATGAAATGATGACGATTACCTCATTATTTGCTCAAATTAAATTAAAGGTTTAGGACTAAGCAACAGCTTTATAGCTGTAGTTAACATTTACATGCCTTTTCACTTATCATTAGTTTTATTTTTACTTTTTATTCTTGTTATATTTTTATTGTTAATTAAGAATCAGCTCAAATCAGGTGACTCTGTTCCCAACTCACCACGATGTCCTCCCACGATCCTTTGTAAAAGATCGGACTGTTGACGTTCCAGTAGGCGCAGAGAGACTTCAGACTGCCGAGCTGCGGTAAACATGTAAACAGCAGCAATCAAAATCATAGATCGATCCACATCACATGACCGATGAGCTATTCTGCATCCTTCACACAGGTGACGTCCAATTTAAGCTTTAAGCTTACAAACACCAGATAACAAGGAACACAGAATTAGAGGGCAAGCAGAGCATCTGTCACCTTATAGATGATCTTTGCTGCCTCGTTCAGGATGCACTCTTTCCAGGTCGCATCAGTGGTCTAAAAAAAAAAACAAAGAAAACACAGCGATGTACCAACAGCAACTGCACAGGTAGCTGGAAGTGTGTGTGCGTATATGTTACCTTAAGGCTGAGCTCTGACAGCGTCACTCCCATAGACAGGGGGCGCTGTGGATCCGACAGCTAAAACAAAACAGAGCAGACATGAGCTGACTCACCTTAACGAGTATCCGGATTTGAACCTGGATCAGTACTTACATCATCTTCGTAGCGCAAGTGGATGCTGCTGATGTTCACCTGCAGGTTTTTAATCACCTGCGTGGCCATTTTCTCCGCAAACGTGTCCTTCTTTTCTTCCTTGGGTTTGTCTGAAACAATAAACAGTATAAAGCAAGTCTTACTTACTTGGATTCATACAATTTTTACTTCATGCTGGACACAGATGGTTTGTTTCTGTTCATTCATAAAAAGATTCTGAGCTTTAAAAGGCAGGTCCAAGAAACCAATATGTAACAGAGATCCTGAAATATCAAATCAGCTTGAACTGATGCTACCTGTCTTGTGATTTCACACTGACCTCTTCACAGATCAGATTTTCACTACCATATAGAAATGGCCAAAATAATAAACAGTAAAACTGCAATCTTTCTAGAATATTTATAAGTGGTATCAGTCAAAACTATTGTTTCAGTTCATTTAGTGTAATATTTTGAGGACCAACAGGCTTTGTGTTGATCATCCCTGCAACTCACTCTGACAGCTGCCTATAGCTCATTATGCAGGTTGATGTGCAACATTATAATCTGTACACTGTTGTGAATCACCAGCTGTCCAGTGTAAACCCAAATAATATAAATGTAATTTATAATGTAATTTTAAAAAGGCATTTAATTGCCTTTTTTTAAGCTGATGAAATACCTTTTCATTGAACTTATTTAAACTTAATAAGCACTTTAATTCACCTCTCTCATAAGATTAATCTAATAAAACTCAAATAAACACACTAATTTGTTCACAGAACTCTGTATTTATCCGTTTCTATGATTCATTTGTAATTAAACGTAGACAACATAGCAGTCTAATTCCATTCTAACAATTATTGTAGCTAAAAAGCGTCTCAAATGAAATAACATAATCACAGTTGCTGATACTTAATTGCACTTGTTCCTCATTACTTTTGTCTTGCATGGGGCATTCATGGTGAGCACTGACTTGATAAGGTAAGAATTAAGAAGGCAACTTAAGGTTTGCATCGCAGGATGTTGCAGCATTACACTGCACTCTGCGTGACAATCAGCAACACACTGCAAGAAAAGAATTAAAACACCACCCGAGTAATTAAGCTGTAAACATCATCACAGACCAAAAGTTTTCAACCCCAAACCTGATTTTTTTTTATGCCCACTCAGGATACTGAAATGTTAATAAACAGCTGTCAGTTTGTTGTTGGCTTTTACCCCCTTCACCTCTTCCTAATCATATTTAGTAGTGTAGTGGTTAACACAAAAAAAAAAAGATCATAGTGACCAGGTGGGTGCAGGCTGGTGGTACCACCTGGCATATTAAATAACACTGAACACCTTTACCAGAATTTAAATGTGAAAACACTGCATAACCATCGAAATATCCAAATGGACTAGACTGCAAAGAGACCCTGTCACACAGGCCTAGCGAGCTGTTGGTGACCTCATGGCGCCACTACAAAGATGAGGTTTTTCACTCACTATGTGGCTAGCATTACACATTTTCTCCTAGCAACCAGTGGTTTCCGGGTGGGTCTCTAGGCATGTGTGACTGGGGCCTTACAGGAAAAATGTCTAAACAAAAATAAATAATTTCACTGAACTAGTATGAAGAACTGTTTGCAGTACTGAGTTCATTCAGCTTAAAAACAGGACAGTAGTGACTCAGACACACCTGTGAGGTAAGGTAGAGGAGACAGCAGTGCAGTTTAACAGAGCAGCTAGCAAAAGCTCAAAGATCAGAGAGAAAGAAGGAGCAGAGAAGTCACAGGAAGAGTCAAGTATTCACAAATTAGGAATTAGGTCCTCCACAGTGCGCTCCATTCATGTCCAGCTCATCACTTAACAACCTAACAGCCTAAAAAGGGATGCTGCACGGCAGTCTGCCTAACTCCTGTCAGAAGAGAGACTCCCAGTGTGTAAGAGAAGTGGCTTCAGAAACCTTATTTAAACGGGAAGGTAGTTCTGTATTGGAACTGTATTATTTAAGATCTTATATGTATATTATTAACCTGACATGAACACTGGTGTCTCTCGTAAGCCCGATACTCTACATGAACCACTTTATAAAAATGCTCCCGGGTCCTTGAATGATAAAAGTCTGCTTCATTAATGGTATAAGTCAAAGGAAAATCACTCTCTGTTACAACTTATGAGACCATCTTTCCAGAACAACAGAATCTGCCAGCTGAGTAACATCGTTCTGAATGGTTGATCCAAACAAAAGGACCACGCGCCGGTTTTAAAGCACAAACTCAGTGAAAATGTGAAACTCACCTTCTTTGTGGTCATGTCGTTTCAGCTTCTTCAAGGCTTTTTTGTGCTTTTTGTGTTTTTTACGTCCTTTTGGGACTTTGGCAGCGTTAAAGGAAGAGACGGCAGTTAGTGTGAGAAAAGCCCGAAAGCACACAGACTGCAGGAAGCAGCAGCAGAAGACTCACACATTCAACACTAAAACCAAACTGCAGAACATGTGCGAGCCCGAGAGCACAGATGGGGGTGTTCGCATGGCAGAGATACCAACCTCTTACATTTCTTGACATAATCAGAGTGAGCTCTGAGATAATGTGTGTTTATTAACTAAAGGCAAACGGCTAATTAATGGAGCAATGTGGCCAAAAAAAACAAACAAAGAATGATTCAAATTCAAATCCCTGAACATCTGAAGCTTTTTTTTTTTAACTGGACTTTTATTGGACTGAAGAGCTGTGAAATGCAGCCTTACCTTCTGATGCCAGCATACACCTACACACGTGTGTGACGCCGACCTGTGTGTCTGTGTGCGTTAACTTTTATGTTTCATTGTGTGTGCCGCACTGTGCGCTTTACCCTTGACTGGCTCCTTGTAAACCACGCTCTCCAGACTGAACAGCAGATCTCCAGTTTGAGATGCTGACAGCCAACGCAGCATGAACGGGACAAACAGGATGTTAATACATTCATCCATTCACCTGTGCAGGACATGATTCACACACTGCGGCGGTCTGGTTTGGACACTTCTGACCTGAAACCTCACAGTGGAAACCTAATGGTGAAGCTCTGACACTTAACACACACATCTGGGTAGAATCTGCACATACGGGATGAGAATTATTTGGTAGCTTAAGCTGTTTAGTTTGCAATCCTGCAAAAAAAAAAAAATCTGAGTTCAGTGCTGCAAAATGTTTTTTTAAAAATACCCTGAAAAAATATCTAGGACTAAACTGAGACTCTGGTTTCTTCGCAGAAACACCAAGTGGAGGAACTAAAACTGTGCCTGTTTGTGTGGTGGGAAAAATGTGAACTGGAGGAAGCGAAAGTTAAAACCACAGGAAAATTTAGCAGAGCAAAGATGGCAAATGAAGCAGGAAACAGAAAAATCCACAGGTATCCACAGGTGTCACTGAGGTCAGACTGACTCACCCCTGCGTGCGGCCATCTGCAGCGCATCCTCGATGCGTTGCAGTTCCCTCTGCTTGGCCTCCTGCTGGTAACGCTCCTCCTTCGCTGCATCATACTTTAATGCTGAGAAAAACAACCAAAACAAAGCCAGGGTTAGTTTTAACCTCCACCAGCGTCGACCTGGAGCCTGCTCTGAGAGCCAAACTGTCTCCTCCTACTGGATAAAGAGCCAGTTTGTCCCTGCCGTCCCTCACGGGACCTCTCCGTGTAGTTGGAGCTCCCTGTGGAGTTTCACCACAAACAAACTAAAGTTCAGTTTACATTCAGCATGTCAGGAGTTACTGTGTATCTTACAAATGTGTTCAAGGTGTTGTCATCTTTATAAAGCATTTACTGGCTGCTGCTGTGTATCTCGCTTTGTTGTGCAAACATTGTCTTTGCATATCATCTCTGGTTCTGTTTTTCTTGCGCACAGAGATACAGACTGACAGCAAAACTGCTCCTTTGGGTTACTTGAAGTCAAAACAGGATCACATGAAAAAACTGTTACAATCAGTCTTTAAGTAAGAGCCGCTTATAGAAAAGAAACAAAACATATTACACTTGTAATATGTCTTCTTTCTCTCACCCCAACCAGTTGCAGCAGATGGCCCCGCCCCTCCCTGAGCCTGGTTAAAAGGGAGTTTTTCTTCCTATTGGACACAAACCTTTTCCAGATCCCCATATATCCCTTTGAAACATCCCAGGATTAGTTTTCAGAAATCCCTACATCAAGATTAAGGAAGAACCCCAGACGGGAAACCAGATACCTCTACACAAAACCACCGAGACAGTTAATCAGAGCTGCACGATAAGTTTACTGGAAATTGCTGTTTTTTGTTTTTACCTGAAAGGTTTTTCTACACACCTTAAATCCAAATTCAACACAAAGCTGTAGCAGTTTCACAGTAAAAGCTCTCCACTAATCTAACAGCATAGAGGCTTTTACTTTGAAGGAATTTAAAAACGGATTACAAGTTAAACCGCTGTTATCATACACTTATTTGTTTTTTGACATCGTGCAGCCCTGACAGGAAGCCCAGAGAACGGATCGGACCTAAACCCGAACCTCCACCTCTGAACTGGTAGCTTACCGTTATACGGACTCGTTTTCAGCTGAGATCCAGCTGGAACACACACATAAAAGCTGAGAAAACACTCCTTTATCAAAAGCAAGACACTGTTAG